GAATGACCAAGAGCTTGACCAATATGAAGCTTGACCCCGTTGAACTTAAAGCACTTAATTCATAGGTGACTTGGTCGTAAGGTTTGTTTATTGTATAATTTTTTTACCTTTGTTTTATTGCACAAAAATAATTGCCACATCAGGAAAATATGAAAACGATGCCACGTATATTGGCGAACGAACACCACCTTAGTTTTATACAACGACCGACGACTTGATCAATCCTGGGTTCTTCTTTTCCGTTTTTTTTTTTTTCATTCAATAGATTTCTTTGACATGGTTTTGTCCATTAACTGAATGCATATCATCTGGATGAGCAAGGATTTACCATGTTAATTAGTACTCTCTCCAGTCTCTCCCCCCACTACTATGTTAACCAGTTGGCTCTTAGTATGGTAGATGTTTACAATTAACGAAAAATTATGGTATTTTAATTAAAACAAAATGTAATAAAAGTCACCCAATCCTGTTGACTTTAGTTCAAAATCAAGTTTGGATTGGATTCCATCCGAATCAAAATCAATTTTAACGGGTTTGATGGTGTAATAAGACTATTGAATTGGATTGGTCCAGATTTAATGATCCAAACTCTAAAGTACTCACTAGAGGATTGGATTGGACCTATTCCATCTATAATAGATTTATACTGAATTGTCAGATTGAACTAATATAACAGAAGATAAAGCATATGGATGTCCGCACTCTATTCATCGCGAATTGCAGCCACACATCGCCATATGTGTGGCTGTAATTTACGGTAAGTAAAGTGTCGATATATTGAAAAAGTGAATAGGAAAACCTGGGTTCTTGGGTTGGACCCATTCTAGATTAAAAAAAAAAAAATTTGAAAAGATTGAATGGTCCAGACATTAAATTGGATTTTTTTAGAATAATTTAAATTATTCATCGGATTGGATTGGACCAGTCCATTTGTAATAAAATCATATTGACCAATATTCTGCCCATTGATAATCCTACCTACGTGTCATTGCCCCCTAAGTAAAGTGGCTGTTAGAGCTGTTATGGATCAGGTTTGGTTTGGGATAGTGTATACCAATTCCATTCCTATTTTTAAACGGGACCATACCCAGAACCAATTAGATAGATCCGATTATACTATACTAGACACCTATAATTGCGAATGATAATAACAATTTAGAACATTAAGATGTATTTTTAACCATAAGCATCTTGTATCCTATTTATGAAATTTATTATTGACATAAAATATAATAAGAATTACAAATCTTTATTTATTATTAATTATACAATTATTTTGGGTCTGAATTATTTGGACAAAAAGAACCAGTCCAAATCCAATTATTAATCCGATTACTAATCGGAACAAAACCATATAGAATCAGATCTGACATAATAAGTTTGACCTGTTCAGTTTTGCATTAACAGCCCTAGAGGCCGTCTGTAATTTATCCAAAAAAAGAATTATTTTAATGCCATGCATTCACTGGCCCCAGAACTTTGTTTTGTGATAGAGACTCTTTAAACTTTTGGCTTCCAACACTTTGACCCCACCATTAGCAGAGTTCAGTCAACTCATGATTGAGATATGCTGTGGGGCCGGCGCCCGTGGGACACGTTCTGTGGGGCGCCAATGTGATCTCCCATTAGCATTGTTTTACTTAATATAATATTCTATTAAACATTTCTAAAACCTCAAACTATTCTCATATTGTTTTATTAGAGTTTAGATCTGCGTCCCAGGACGAGGCGCCCCACAACGTTTCAAAGCGCATCCCCACCTTATATTGGGAATATCTTCTGATGATGATATCATCGGATCTGATATTATCATCAGGAGATATTTCTAATATACGGTAGAGATGCACTGCGGGACATTGTGGGGCGCCCCCTTATGGGGTGCAAATGTGAATCGTTTTTTATTAGATCATTTTGCTTTTTTTTTTTCAACAATTTATCACAAAACAAAATTCAGGAGGCGAACCCCCTAAACAAAGTAGCTATCAGTAATTTAGCTTTTTTCTTTACAATATTTATTGTCAAAATAACCTTATTCATTGGCTTTGACTTATAAAGGAAATCTGCCTCAGTCTGTCTGACTGTTGGGTCCTGTTTTGAGACAATGAATATAGGTAGGGATGTCAACGGGTGGGTTCGGCATCGGCATGGATTTGTCTCCACCTTAATCCGATGATCCAGTGTCTTAATTTGAACCCGATTTGACCCATCTTAAAAATACATAATTTCCGATCCAATCCCATAAGGTCTAATCTGATATCCATTTAACGTGACTTATAGCTTTTCAATTTTATTTTTAATACATTTATTTTGAAATTCTGAAAACAATTCATTTATGTTAGGAATTTGTTTTATTAATACATTTATAAGAATACTATGTATATATACAGAGGTATCATGACTAGGATGGATCAACCAAAATTCAATTAGATTTGGGTCAGAGAATCAAAACCCCAACCTGACCCTAAAGCTGAATATGCTTGACCCTAACCCAACCATATACGGTCGGGTCAAGCAGGGTTTAATGTTTAACCTAACCCATTGGCATCTATCCTTAAGCCCACATTCTTCTGTGCTCATCGCGGCAATGACCTAAATTCACCAATCCATGGTTCCCACCTTGAAGATTAAATGGGATGAAAGTCACTTAAAAGATAAAAGTCAATGATGGTTCCCCCCTCCCCTCCCCCATACTTATCTATCTGGAAGATGGCTCATTTATTCAGGAAAAAAGTTTTGCTGAAACCCTCATAAATCTGAAAATCCATTAAATGAAGAGGGAGGCCCTTTGGCGACTTCTTTTTGGATGAATCTAGAGACGTTGTAATTGCACTAAGGGCCTCTTTTGTTAAGACTCCAATAGATGAACACAACATCCGATTTTTTACCACAAGCGGGAATACAAAGACTGCACTTATGTTGCAGTATGTCTCTTCGAGTTTTTTGTTGTGCTTTTCTTTTGCACTTTCAGTGTATTATTCTTTGTACTCTCCTTTTTGAGTAAATATAATTCGTTGTTATCTCCAAGAAAAATGGAGATTGGAGAATAGATTTCTTTAATAACACTCCCAACATGTTAACAGGATGGAATTAGAGGTGCAACTTGTTGGCCCAAGTTAACATTTTACACTTCTTTGGGCTCAGGCATGCGCCAAATTCATTTAAATTTTGACAAAAGCCCATTTTACCCGCTCATGTTGTAACCCTAGATAGAACTATTAAAAATAATCCAAACTATTCAGTTTTTAAGTTTTTGTGTATAAAACATTCATCAAAATCACTTTTACTAGCGAATTCTTAACATCGTAAGATATACTGTTGCAGCCTTAATGTGATTGGTTGAAATTTTGATTTAACTATTAAATGCTGTAATTATTAATTGTATATCTAATTTCTATATTGAAAACCATTAGTATATGCCAAATATTGTTCAAATGTAAATTATGCTAAACCTGGTTTCTCCTAAAGGTAAAATGGCAGAACATTTTTCTTCTATACATCTTCACTTCCTTTCCAAAACGTTTAACATGTTATCCTTTGTTTAATTTTGTGCTCAAAAGAAAATAATAATAATAATAATAAAATAATAATAATAATATACTCATGCTCAACAAAATTATTAATTTCTTTCAAACTCTTTTTGCAACTTTGGTTTCATAATATTACTTAAAACAGTGCCAGAAAAATAATAAAATTATAGAATTTAGTTGCAGCAATGGTGAATCTCCTGGTCAATTGTGTACGTACCACCTCTTCGAGTGCTAAGTGCTAACAATAGTTTTTCTTTTCCTTCTCATATGATTCATGAGTACTCATTGTTTAATTGGCGCCTTGATCATCAGAAATGTCCACATTGTCTATCAATCTAGGGATATGATTCCTATCATGCCATGCCCAATTGCTTATATACACTGGAAGCATATGTTAGATAATGTATGTCTTTAGCTCCAATCAGATTGATGTATATATGTATTTATTGTAAATGAATAAAAGTACATTAATTGATTCATGTTATATTTGGTGTGTTTCTGTGTAATTATCCTTAAACTAAACACTTATGAGATTCGTGTTAGTTTAGAATGTTCTCAGCTATTGGATAGACTTGGGAAAGTTTATCCTGCCAAGGTTGACACTAATGTGCTGCCAAGTATGTTGGAGCAGCTTGTCTCAACTACCAGGGTTAAACTCGATGCACATATAATGTGTGTTTGTTTGAAACACTAAATGGGCTATCTTTGATATGCCAATCAGTAAAATCCTTTGGGAGTCAAAACCTAGGTATGTTGAGGTAGTTTGAGAATTTACTCGAGTGGGTAATCATAGAGACAAGGTTAGCCCCTTTGTCGGACAAAGTGAATGACCGAAACTGCATTCTCTCTAATGAAAACCAAAATTGCCAGCAGTCGGTTTTAAACTTATTTGATATTTGCTTTGACAAAAGTGTTTTCCCCTAGAAAACTTTTAACAGTAAACCCCACTGCTCAAATTTCCATAAACATTGATTGGTTGGTGGAGATGCTTTTTGGGGTTTTGGTTTTGCTTAGCAGCCTTCAAAAACTGCAACAAAATATGTCTTGCTTTTATGTTTGTCTTTTTTAGTAATAGATAAATGAATTAATAGTGGAAGTGATTTTCTTTTCTCTTCTCTCACCCCTCTTCAAGATTTTGCCTAAAATATGGATTTATTTCTTTATTCTGGGCTTCTAGAAAATGGAGTACAGGTTTCTTTAGGATTTAGAAGATATATACCAGCCCCCATTCCAGAGCTGTATTAAAGAAAGGCCGGGCAAGTGGGATCATGTGCGCTTATAATCGGGTTAATGGAATCCCAAGCTGCGCAGATTACAATTTTTTATCCAAAACAGCAAGAAAACAGTGGGGGTTTAATGGTAAATATAAAAAATTAATTCATTTGTTTATCTCATCTCTGTGATTTTAGTTATAGAGAAAGCAATCTGATCTTTCGGCCGGTTGTTACAGTACTGATTCGGTTTGATAACCAGGTACATCACATCCGACTGTGACGCTGTTTCCATTATCTACACCAACCACCATTACGCTAAAACGCCGGAAGATGCAATCGAAGATGTCCTCAGAGCAGGTACGTGGTACAGTGCAAATTTAGGGTCCCTTCATGGTGTGACTGTGAACCACAGACAGATTCTCGGTCTCCCACGCAGTCTGAGTTATTTTGCGTCCTTTTTATTAGTAGGTCTGTCAGTCAATTGGTGGACCCAATTTGATGGATGCGTATGAGTCACTATCCGATTCAGTAGTATCCGAATCCGATCCGGATAATGAAATCTGAAATCCGATCTGCGATTGGATTCGGATTTAATTCAATTCTATTTAAAATGACAAAAATAAATTATTATAAATATGAAATAGTTATTTTATTTTATTTTTTCGCTTCATGGGGCTACACAACAGGGGCCGTCAGGGGTAGCCGATCCCCTTTCCCTTAACCTCCCCCCCCCCAATACCCTGGTGGCAGAGGGATTTGATCCCACGTCTCTACTTCGAAGAATCAGAGAACCTACCAATGTTTATTATGAAATAATTATTTTATTATATGTTAAATAGTTATTTGAAATAGTTATTTTATTATATGTTAAATCAATATATATATTATAAAATTATTGGGCTTTGGATTTTAATCGAATTTGATGGGGAATCTGATCCCCGATTATGTAAACATAACAGATCACCTGGTCCGAGATGATCGAATCGGATTTTGGAATCCGTTGGTAGCCCGACCAACCAATGGAGGTCCCAAAAAAGGGCTGTCAATCAGTTCTGATTCCGGGAACTGGAAACAACAGGTCGGATCTGGGTTCCGATTACTATCGGTTCGGAACTTGATTCATCTAGTCCCGAACTGATATATATAATATTTAATATATATTAAATATAAATATTTATTTTTATTTATTATAATTGGATCTATCAGATCAGACCCGATTGTCTTAAGAATTGATCAATTTGATTTCAAGTAAAAAATTACAGACCCTATTAAGTCCGAGTCCGGGTCCTCAACATTTCATGTTGGGTTGGTTCCGATTCTAACTGGTTTCGGCCCATACCCGATCCGTTGACAGTCCTACTCAAAAAGCAGTTATCAATCTGAGAAAACTTGTCGGTCCAAGCTCGACAGTCCATGCTTGTCGCTGTTACATAGAATTAATAATAATTTCTAGGGTAAATTGCTGAAAACATCTTGAAATTTCTGGTCTTTCTGAAACCTCCCCTAAAGTTTATTAATTGCAATCACCTGCCTTAAATTTTTTTGACATAGTTGCAAGTTGATCACTTTTGTTAGAATTTTCTAAAAAAAGGGCATAAAATGTCTAAAATATCCATATATTTACTTTGTCAAAAATGTTTATTTTCTAAATTTTCTCTGCAAATGAATTGCTACCTCAAATCCTTTTCTCCTTTCTGAAATTTATTTATTTTTCAAATTTGACCTTCATATCAATCCGTCAAAGGTAAAGCTGTAACTTTAAATTCTCTCTTTCTTTTTATTTTTATTTTTTCTGTAAAAACTAACATCAACAGTAACTGCATAGGTATTTTGGACATTTTATGCCTTGTTTTAGAGGATTCTAACAAAAGGGATCTGCTTACAAGTTGCAACTGTATCAGAAAACTTAGAAGTGATTGCAATTACTAAATTTCAGGGGAGATTTTAACAATGATCCAAAACTTCAAGGGAGGTTTTACCAATTTACCCTAATTATATAAAGTATAACGTGTCATGCAGGAGGGTCAAAAACTGAGCTTTGACTGTTTTGAGCCTCTGCACATGACATCTTAGCTAATTCAGGTCCTCATTCCTTTTTTAATTAAAAGAATGTTGAGTGTAAATACTGTTTTACCCACACTCATGATTAGATGCCATTCACAGCATGCGATCAAAACAATACCAGGCTGTTTTTTCAAAACAACCAAAGTTTTTCCTCAAATATGGGTGTCATTGGACTGGATTTGGTCCAATCCAATCCAGTCCAATGTGAGTCCATTGCAAATGGACCAAGTTCAAATCAATCCAATGAATATTTTAGACCAGTCCAATTCAATGTTTGGACCATCCAATCTGTTCAAATTTGTTTTAATTTAAATTGGTTTCAATTCAAATCCAGTCCATTTACACCTATATTACTAATGGACCAAATATTGGCTTAATCCAACCCAATCTAATATAAATTTATTATGAATGGACCAAGTCCAGTCCAATCTAATAAAATTTTTGGACCAGATTGGTCCAATCCAATATATCTTGTTGGTCCATCCAATTCGTTCAAATTGATTTTGGACTGAATGGGATCCAGTCCATTAACACCCTTATCCTCAAAGACTTTCCAATCAATGAGGCCATGTTTAGGATTAAGAAAAAAATGAATCCAGCTTTACTTCAGGTCAACCCACATACCGCTTGTCTTCATATTTATAACTTATATAAATATAAATAATATGTAATACATATGCATGTATGCAATTTTTTGCATTCATGAAGTATATAATCATATTAAAACCATAAAATCTTGATCCATAAGATCACTTTTGCAAAATGAAATGAGAAATTGGAATATGGTAGGCTGGGGGTTCAACAACTCGGATTGGATTAGGATTGACCTCAATCTAGCTTATAAGCTGGATTAGATGCCATTCACAGCATGGGTTTGGATCAAACACAGGAGAGGAAAGAGAAGGATCGGGAGGACTTGGTACTCCCAGGGAAGCAATGGAGTCTCATAACGAGTGTCTCCAGAGTTGCAAAGAAGCCAGTGGTTTTGGTGCTTCTCAATGGTGGTCCGCTTGATATTTCCTTTGCAAAATATGATTAGAACATTCGCAGCATCTTGTGGGCGGGCTATCCTGGTCAAGCTGGGGGAACTGCAATCGCCCAGATTATTTTCGGCGACCATAACCCAGGTGAACTTTACTGTTTTACTAAGAATATTTTTCTTGTTTCTCCCATTCTATTTGAAAGCAGGCCGGGCTTTGTTGATAGAGCAGAAATGTCTTAGTCTTCATATAGTTACTGTTGAAGTGACTGAAAAGTCAGTTCTCCATTTACACAACATAACCATGAATTGAATCAATTGGCCTGATTATAATGTTTTTGTCTGCAGGGGAAGATTACCAATTACTTGGTACCCCCAAGAATTCACTAAAGTACCAATGGCAGACATGAGGATGAGACCCGATCTAGCTTCTGGGTATCCTGGATGCACGTGCAGATTCTACAAAGGCAAAGCAATGTTTGAATTTGGCTATGGTCTCAGCCACTCGAACTACTCCTATGCTTTCACCTCTGTCACGCAAAATCAGCTCTACTTGAACAAATCTGCCACCATTCAAACAGTAGAAGAGGATTCAAATTCCATTCGTTTCGTTTCTGTGGCAGAAATGGGTGATGATGTCTGTCAGAAAATGACATTCTCAGCTGCTGTTGAAGTCAAAAATCATGGGGAAATGGCAGGTAAGCATTCAGTATTGCTCTTTATACGCCAGGCCAAACCTCGACATGGGAATCCAGTGAAACGGTTGGTTGGATTCCAGAGCTTGCACCTGAATGCCGGGGAAAGAGCTGAAATTGAATTTATACTGAAACCCTGTGAGCACCGCAGTAAAGCTTATCAAGATGGTTTGTCAGTGACAGAGGAAGGATCACATTTCTTGATCGTGGGAGATAGAGAGTTCCCTGTTACCGTTGTATTTTGAATCATAGCCAATGCCAAGGATTCTTATAATAAAAAATTACTTTGAAGTCCCATAGTCACCCTACAGTAGTTAAGTTTTTGTGTTAACTGGCTTCTTTTCAGCAGCCTATGGCTCGAAAAATCATGAACAAAGAATTTTTTTGTTCAAGAGTGCAATTCTTTGTGTGAATCTGCCTTTCATTTGCATTTGTTTGCAACCTACCTTCTTGGCCTGTTTTGCAGGTGTAAGTAATATTAACATATCCAATCTTGTTTACAACGATTTCCTGCCTTCAGAAATAATAAATTATTTGAAATTTATAGAGTACGACCAGGTCTTGTTGTTGACTGGTTTGGTACCAAAGGGAAGCAGAGGTTCCAGCTGGTCCCTGTAACCTGTTTGAGCCAAGTCCAAACAAATAGTCCAAAAGCATTACCCAACCATGAACCTTGGATTACAAATAGAGTAATCTTTCACACCTTCAGAGTGCAATATTGATGGGATGTAGCTACTTGCTAAATTACATTGTCTGCTCATCCTTTTAGCTAAATGATGCAGCTCATATGCTCAAGGGAGTCATAAAATTCTAAAAGAAATATAATGGTTTCTGCCATCAATTTGTTTGTAGAGGAAAACAACACATTCTTGTTCACAAAATGGAGTCTTTAGACTCAAAGCAGAGAATATCTCCTTAATCGGGAACCATCTACTTTTCATTTTTCTTCTGAGATTTTAATCCTGTTTTGGAAATACTATCGAGGTATGGTATTCTTATTGCAGTTCGATTTAGGAGGTTTCAGGTATTGTGGTTTGAATTGTGCTTGTTTTTTTGGGCTGTGTATCCATACAAAGGGCCGTCATTTTAGTTTGAGCTAGCAGAAGATTATTGTTCTGTAATACTTCAGTTAGAGAAGCCTAAATGGCATTTGCATCCTTGAGCAAAAAAACCTGAACTCCACTTTTCCTTGAGAAAAATGCAAAATTAAAAATTTTGGCTATCTATATTCCACTGTTCTGAGGGGAAAAAATAATTTGTTTGTTCTAGTCACTGGAACAACAAAAATGTTCTGTTATAACTCACAAAACCTACCAAAAAACACCTATGTTTCTCAAGTCTTCATAAGTAATAAAATTCATAGGTTGACTGAAGCTGACAATTATCTTACATAGTATTTTTGACTAAAACTAGAAACTGACACAAATTCTGCAGAAACATCCATAGAAACATGAAAATTTTGTCAACAACCATTAACAAGTCCAATTAGACATTCAACCACCAAACCAAGTGCCCCATCAGTCTTACTGTTCCTGCCAGTGGGCTTAAATTCCCTTCTTATAAGGTTCTCTAGGGACCATCCTGTTTTGGCAATGAAAGTGTTGTTAATATCACCAATATCGATTCCTGATCGTGTAACTATTGTTCGAATCAGAACTTCTTGAGTGCCATTGTTCTTCCATGTTCTTCGAAGTTGTTTTGCAAAGTACTTTTCAGGATATTGCATGCTGCGAATCGCGATGCGGAGCTCCTTTCCAAAATTTCCACACTTGTTACGCTTAAGTGACTTTGAGAATTCATGGCCATAGAGTTGCTTGTACGAGATAAGAATGGCCTTAATTTGCTCCACATTTCTTTGGCTCAGTAGGGTAATAATAGTCCTTTCGTCAACAGATTTTCCACTCTCCATTGCCTCATACAGCGTCTTTGCGTCACACATGGCCATGCTCATGTCAACTTTGCCACTGTAGTGGTGACTAGACCTCAGAAATGCCAGTAGAATCTAGGAAGAGCACCAAAGATGATTAGTCAATTGAGATGTTGATGGATTGTTCCTTGACTGTTTGGAGAAAGACATGCTATAAACCACAAGAAATGTTTGAATTAAGAAAGACATATGAGCTCAATTTTGTTCACTTTGCTAATATTTACCTCTCTGAAACCACCACCAATTTTAAGGGAAACATCATGTTCAAGATCAGAATTATATCGAGGGCGATATGCTTGCTTGATAGAGTGAAGGTCTTTAGAAGGACGAGTGCAGACTATCTCAGTAAGGGTGCTCAGGTCTACATCTCCTCCGAAAAGTGCAAACCTTACTATCTCAGCATCACGCTCCTGTGGTTCACTCATACGAAGATACACCAACCTCTGTGGATCAAACACATATAATAAACATCGGTAGTACAATGTAGATCTACGAAATCATAGATATAACTCTGAACTTGAGGCCATGTTAAAAGCTTACAGAAGATGGGTTGTTCCGCTGAGAGGTAAAGAGGAAGTGAAGAAGATCTTGGTTGTAGAGAGCAATGTAGGTTTGGCGAATAAGCTTGTACTCTTGGAAGTTCCTATGTGTAAGGATCTCTATTAGCTTTCCATCTTTCGTTACACCATTTCCTGCTTATCAGTAATCAAGTCATCAGTTAATATTGACTTAATCATCATCCATCAAGGCATCAAAAACAATACAATATATAGAAGAAAACTTGTAACCTAGCCTTCACACTTGCTACTAGTTCCTTGGTTGAAAGAGAGCCAAGAGTGGATCAGAAATATTATATATGGAGAACTGACTAGTATGCACCCAAGAACAGAAAATTTTCATGAGAAAAATGTCCAAGAGAAACGCTTCTGTGGTCAAATATATAGTACAAAGCAAGAAGGTTTAGTTTACAATTGCACCCACAAAAGCTAACCCAATTCAAATTGAAACTATCCTTTCTACAAGCAACCCACCCATGACCCAACTAAGGATCGATAGTGTTTACCCTTCTCCCCTGGCCTGCGAAGAAAGATCCGTACTACCTGAGAAACAACAATGGAGATGTTGGCAATCCTGCTCGTATTTCCTAGAAATTTGAGTGGAATAGTCCATCTTGTCTCAAGAGACTGCTTGACGCTTGTGTTTGCGTGTTTGTGTGTTAATGGGTACACACCACAGCCAAATACCGGGTTGAAGAGCACCAATTTATAGGGCAGAGAGGTGACCCAGTCTGTCCCATCCATGGAATAAGTTACTTTTGTTCACTTTAAACAAAGAAGCATTATCAGAGGAGGGAATAAAGCCCACGTCCCAGACGAGACCACATCAGAAGAACATATACTCGGTTCCAATTTCGACAGTACTCATACTACCACACTTCACTTTCATTGCCAACCTTTTCTTACAAAAATATTACAAGTCGCTGACTTACGGCTAGGCCCCTATTAAAAAAAAAAAAAACAACCACCACCACCCACGACAATGTCAACCATGTTAGACGTCTAGATAGGAACGTAACTGGAAACCATTAGCCATGCTCAGCCTGATTTTGATTGGGTCGAAGACCTCTTTAGCTTAGGGAATCTATTACTACTTCGTACACACCGTCCTCAAAGGCACTGAAGTATAAGCTACACTTTAACTGGATGCTCGTTGTGGTGCGTGCATGAGAATGAAATAGACCTATTCCATTTAATTAATGGATTCCATCTAGAACGTAAATGATATAAAACTCCTTAATTAGCCGTACGGCATTGAATCTGAGCACCATCCATGGTAATACCATTACAGGGAGGCGGGAGCAATGAATCATGAATTTGAAATTTTGGTTCAATCAGTAACAAATTGGCAACCACTCATGTTTTCGGTCGAGCTATTATATTGGGCACTACTCGATCGAGTAAACGCATCGGATGCCTTCCCTGTTATCAGTTGACACCTCGCCAACTGATGTAGAGGTCAACTCATTTGAGTTTGCTAATGTATTTCTAGAGGACAGTTTCATATAGTTGAATAGGGGATTTAGAGGGGAGGACTGTCTTGGTTAATTCCCCGTGTGAGTGTGAGTGGAATCGATTCACCTGCGTTATCCTACCTAATTTATCAGCCCAGTGGGGAGGTCAACTCATTCACTGTATATCAGCAAATATCAGGCAAACAGATGAAAGAAAAGAAAACGCTTCTAATTTATCATCAGCCATCATCAGAACAATGCAAACTTTGAGTTAGAGAAAACCAAGCGACAAATTAATGGAGAATAGATTGACACTTGTTTGAGATAAACCAGCTAACTTGAGGATTCTCAAATGGAGTTTTCAATGTCAACACCATGTCTAGGCCGGTCAACAAGTAAACCCCTCTAGATATCATATTACCAGTTTGCTTCGGTGCAGGGAAAGTTGGGAGACTACAGTGTTCTGGTTGTCTCGCGTCCATGGGATGTCTTTAAGTACTGTGTCCACTGTACATTCGTGCATCGATCCCCATATGGTGATGTCTCAAGTAGTGAGAAGTTGTGCCACAAAACCACTAAGTTAAATTATGTATTGTGTCTGTCAAGATAAAAAAAAGAGAGGTTCACATTGTTCTGTGATCTATATATAGGGCAATACCTCATGCCCTATTCAGTGGTGATCTGTGTATATATATACCTGCTGACTCTGTAATTTAAAAGGTGATCAGTGAAACCAATTGAGCAAAAGAGTTCAGAATCCCAAAATGATCTATAATCAAATCTACAATGTGAACCTTTCAAAATGGATTAATAGCATACTCCAGACTGATACAGATACTCAATATAATAGTATAGCATCGTAGCAGCTCATGTGATAAACACATATCTGGGATGTGACAAACGCATCAATGTCTCCATGCTTAAAAAAGTTATATCTCTAAGTAGCTGATCTTCCTTCAGAGACTTCGGGTACTAATTTAAATTGCTACCTTGCTTAGATCTTTCTTCACACCAACCTCAGCTCTACACCATAAGAATTGCAGCTGGTACATCATACAAGTATCATGGAAGAGATTCCACTGAATGTGGTGATTTCTTAACACCAACGCGTCATCATAAGAAACCCTTTCCTGTTAAGCTGCTTCTATTTCCCCAAAACTTCCCAACTCAACAAGGGTTGATCTAAGAATTGCAAAGCAAAAACAGAAAACAGGAGAAATTAGGTAGACTAGGGAGCTTCAAAAGAAACTTGACTAATTAAGGGGGTGTTCTACAACACTAATGCTTTTGTTTTCATTGGTTTTTGGAATCGCCACATCAGCAAAAAACAAAAACAAAGTTCTTGAACTCTGTTTTTGTTTTCAAAGAAAAAAACATGTTGATTTTGTTTAAAAAACAATACATGTTTTTGAACCAATAAAATAATGGTTTTTAAAACAAAAAAAATATATAAAAATTATATGATTTATGGAATATGATATTAAATAATCAGATGAAAACATGTTTTTAAAAAGTCCAGATTTCTTACCCATGAAAACTTTATCCACATAACATCGCAGTCACACATAGGGAACATCTCATCCTCTTACATGTTATTATGCACACGGGGAAGATGTCCCCAATGTATGGAGGTAGTGTTTTGTGGGTAGGCATGGATAGAGTTCTTGTGGATAGGAGATCCAGAGTCACTTTTAAAATCATATTCATGAACATGTTTTTGGTTTTAGCTTTGAAAACAAAACACACGCATACAAACAAGAACATGTTTTTTGTGTTGTTTGTTTTAAGAAACAATCTTTTTCAAATCTGATGGTTTTGAGTTTTTATTGGAACTAACAACAATAAAAACAATTTACGTGGGATCAAGGCAAATTTATCAGTCCCATATGGAAATGCAAACACTTTTGCAGGACTGACTGACTAAGATCTCAGGTATCATATCAGTATCCTCATTACTAACAAGAAAACAGAATACAAACCATAACAAAGTGAGGGTCATATAACATGAATGGGAAATGATAAAAGAGAGTTCAATATTCAAATTAAGAAATAAAAGTGTACATAAATAGTAAGTTTTTTGAGGGTTCAAGTACACGAAGTACCTTGGTTTAAGAGCTTATTGGAATATATATGCAGTTGCATATCTTTTGTTTTTTTTTTTTTTTTAATGCAACAACAAGTTTGGATATGTTACCATAGATTAAGAAAATGGGGTGGTCATTCTTCTGTTACTTGTGATCGTTTTGTTGGTGTTGATTTGAATGGTTGGGATTTACTTGGACTCTGAGGTGAGATTAAGAAATGAGTTGACTGCAAATTATGATGGATGGCTTTCAGGTTTTGAGATTCAATTTTTGTTGAGGTTTAGGTTATATTTGGTACCTTTGCTGTTTCTACCTGAAAAGTTTTGGGTTGGTCAATATAAATTGGCATACCTAAAAATGCATGTATGAAAGGCTGTTTGTAGAAACATCAAATTGGTGTTTCTTTCTCTAGAGGGTGAAATCTAACCATTCTAGTTGAAGTAGTTCTCACATGTGATGTAGGAATACAATCTCTCAGTAATTTGTATTGATCAACCCAAAACGTTTCATGTATCATGTAGAAACAGTAATGGTACCAAACACAAAAGCTTTACCATTATTTCTATAATGCATTGCTTTGAACAAAAGAAACACAGTTCACTATGAGCGGCTCTAGTTTGTTTTGATTTACAAGAAAGGATACATGGAGTAAATATGTTGTGGAAGGGTGGGTCAGGACTCGGGCTAGACTTGGTTCAGATTTGGGTTACCCAATGGAGACCTCAACAAGTCTAATCCATGTTGAGATCAAGCCCATATCTCAGGTTCATGCCCAGAGAGAACCCAAAATACAAGCCCAACCGGTGCAAAAGCTAGGACTTAAGGGTGGATCATCAGGCTTGGATGGGCTATAATAATTGGAAACTTGGAAGGAAGCATTGGAGAATGAGCAGTTACCATAGTTTTGTATCTATCATATAATTTACGTGTAGATTGAGTTGATTTACAAAGCTCGGTTTGGAAGGAGTACAAAATATTATATTTTCTATTATTTTATATATATTTATACTGTATATATTTGTATTTATAGTCTTTCCAAACTGAGTCTAATAGTCAAAATATGATGAATAACAGATGCTTCTAGGTACTTCTGTCATAACAATGCTTTCACCATGCCTAATTTGGATGACAAAATCGGAATTTACATTCTTAATCAAAGGCTTTTACACTCTCAGCCACATAATTTTACATCGAAAATCGGTGTAAAATTACATTTTGATTTAAATTCACATCGATTATTACATCGCTCGCTCGTCCTCTCTCTCTCTTCTTCTTCTTCTCCTTCTCTCTCGCTCGCTCTCTCTCTCTCTCTCTCTTCTCCTTCTCTCTTCTTCTTCTTCTCCTTCTCTCTCGCTTGCTCTCTCTCTCTTCTCCTTCTCTCTCACTCTCTCACTCTCTCTCTCTCTTCTCCTTCTCTTTTCTTCTTCCCCTTCTTTTCTCTTTCCGTCATTGCGCAGTTGCGGCGGCAGATCTGAATCCCACCTCCGAAGGGAGAGCCGTAGAGGACCTAGAAGGGGAAAAAAAGGCGCTAGTGAACATCGGTGTAAATCCAGCCCAACTGAACAGATACACATTCATCTCGCAGCCGATAGCCATAAATCTGTTTCTGGTATCAGAGGCTCTATACGCATTTGCAAATCTAGCCCAGTATTTGTCCTCACTTCCTTCCGTCTCTCTCTCTCTCTCTCTCTCTCTCTCTCTCTCTCTCTCTCTCTCTATCTATCTATCTATCTCTTTTCCTCTTCCTCTTCCTCTCAATCTCACTCTCTGTTGCTGGTCCTTAGACATAAATCTGTTTCTGGTATCAGAGGCTCTGTATGCATGTGCAGTAGCTTCCCTTCTCTGAAATCCAACTCTTCTAGCTCTAATCTAGACCACAGAGAGATGGCCAAACTCGTTGACAGGTTGGGCTTCGGTCACCGTTCCTCCAATAGATCCACCATTGGCCTTATCCAGTCGTTGATCAGAGATGCCTTCGCATCCTACACCAGTTCACCCCATTGTTCACTCCAAATGCGTATAAAATATCCACCGATCTTTCATACCGTTCCTCCAAACGTAAAAGAGTGTAAAAGGTGCATTCGGCCGGTTTATCTTTTGCACTGACACATTTGACGGTTC